CATGTTCCAGGAACTGCCTGCATACTCTCGCCACATGAAGCCGGGCATTGTCGTGCACCAGGAGGAACCCAGGACCCATTGCACCAGCATAGGGTCTGGCAATGGGTCCAAGGATTTCATCCTGATACCTAATGGCAGTCAAGGTGCCGTTGTCTAGCCTGTAAGGGTCTGTGTGTCCCTCCATGGAACACTAATTATTTTGTGTGTCAATCAGCAAATGACTTTACGATGCTAGTTTCATCATGCAATTTTTATCAAGAACTATATGCTGAGCAACTCATAAATTTGTTGTTTATAATGAATATGGACTTTTTGATTTCATTATTGATTAGATATTTGTTTAGCTAACCAAAAGTAGGCTACAGGTAGTAGGCCTACAGAAGCCTCCTGTCAATGTCAGTATCACAGACTTTGTAATGTTGTTTACTACCCTGCTAACCTGGGGTATGTTTCCCAAAAGCATAGTTTCTAACAACGTTAGCAGGTTACACTGTTCGAACATGCAACTGAATGTTCTAACTATACTTTTGGAAAACATATCCCTCGACAGGACTTACTTTCTTAGGCTACAAGTTACAAATAACCTTACATCAATGACTGTCAGTACATTCCCAGTCATTACAATGCAACTAATGCATTCCAGAAAAACCTCATGTTCATTAAAATCGCACAATAAAATTCACATATCGAATTTGAAAAATGGGGTCAGGGGAATGAGCCTCCAAAACTTAGTTGCTAATATGCCAAACAAAATGAATTAATAATAAGTGATACCAGTGGCCAACAATGTAAGTACAGTGGTACCTCAGAACTCGAACTTAATCCGTTCAGGACTCCGGACTGAATCCTAAAAAGTTCAGGTTCTGATCGAATTTTCCCCATAAGAAATCATGGAAAACCAATTAATTTGTTCCAGGCCCCAAAAAATTACACCTAAATATGTTTTTTTTTAGCATTTAAACACAAAATGAACCGGATAAAACAAGAAGAGCATATACTGTACTAAACACATCTAAGCACATTTATCAAAACAGTAATTTGTAAAGTAAGAAAATAAATGTATCCAATGTGTAAAGTTAAAAAAAAACAATGTGTCCTGCTCCAATCGTCCACTCCTTCCGTGTGCCACGCCCCCTCGTTAACCCCTTGTGGAATCCCCGTGTGATCAGCTGTTTCTGCTTGTTGTTATGAGTCCTCTGTATTTCGTCCGCGTTTCAGTCTGTTTCCCTAGTCCGGTCATTGTATTGTCCGTCTGCGTTTTGCCTGCCTTACCTGTAATTAAACCCCGTATTCCCTGATACCCTGACGTTTGCGCCTTTGTCTCCTTTCCGTCGGCGCTCGGCACGACAATATTATTATAATTAAATGTATTAATGGTTTATTATTAATATTAAAATAATTAATAAGAAATCTTTATTTTAAAATGTATTTTATTATATAATAATAATTACTGTTACTGTCTATCATTGTCTAAATGTATTTTTACTGTCTAAATACATTTATTCAGCAGAGCATGTGATCGGAGCGGAGCGGTGAGAATTTCCGCTCCTCGCTCACGAGGCTGTTGGCTCCGCCCGCTCTAATTCGCACTAAGCCGCTCCGCTTAACATCGCTCCTCGCTCCACTAAAATGTCCTCCCGCTCCAGTCAAATCGCTCCACACTCGCTCTGATTTAAAAGAGGAACAAATAATCTGCATGTCTAACAAATGTCACCTTAAACCGAAGCCTTATGTCATAAAGAAATATGAGCAACGGCAACATTGCCAGTCAGAACAGAAAATATTTATTTTTAAGCAACCTATAGGCAACAACGGACAGATTTGGAAATGGCATTCCACACAAAAATAGGCTTAAAAATAAAGGAATCAGTGGGCTTAATAGCCTAAAGAATATACAGACACGTTTTAAAATCCTCAATTTTTTTCTGTTGATGCAGCACGTCTCTAAAATAATATAATAATAATTTTAAAAAAACCTTATTAGACCTACTTTGAATGACAAAACGAATTTATTTGATTACCAATATTTACTTTATAGGCTTTTATACTTTAATTTATTTTATAGACTAGATATGCTAAAACCATATAAAACTTGCACGCGTTTTGCTCTGGCTTCCGTTTGTTCGCGTAGCACACTCATGTTTCTGAGAAAAGTGATTCCAAAGTGAATCTTTACTCACTGAAACAGTTTCACCACATTGTTGTTCTTGCTGTACATTCTTGTCATCTATACGTTTGATAAGAATAGTACACTTGTATGATTTATCAATTTCCTTTGTGAAATACTTTGCGAATTCCATCTCGGCCAATTTGTGTAACAGTCTTGATAATTGTACAGATGAATTCTGGGTAGATTTGGGCACGCCTCAGAATTGTAGCGTGAGCGGTATCGGAGCGAAATTGGAGCGAGACAAAGCGACCGCTCCAGCCTTAATTAAAAAACCGCTCCGCGCTCTGACCAAATTCTGCCCGCTCCGCTCCTCGCTCACGCTCCGCTCACATGCTCTGGTATTCAGCTAGTGTAAACATGCACGGTGCTATCACAACGAATGCGAGGCTGAGACTGAAGTGTTACCCTTTGTTTCCGCTGAGAGACGTGCCGCGTGACTCATTTCCCCGCACATACAAGTTATCTTAGGTCGGCGTTCATGGTTTGACTTCTGAGATTCAGATCGAGTACTAGGTATTTTTTTCCAAACTGGTTGCTTCGACTTTTAAGAAATTCGAGTTCTAATGAGTTAGAGAATGGAGGTACCACTGTATATACATTTTAAAAAGAAGTAATACAATTTAATATCAAACATCTTCTATCAGTCTCATGAAAATTGCCTAGTAACAGCTTCAACTGAATGTGCCGAACTCGCCAACTAAGACACTAGTTTGCATACTAGTCAGCTTTTATCAGACGCAGTTGTGCTGCTGTTGGTATTTGCAAGGACTTGGGTACTAGAATATCAATCATGTTAGAACAGATTTGCGGTGTGGCATCACGCATTGTAGCTGGACTGTCTGTATGTATCTAGAGAGAAAATCTATGTTGTAATGGTGTAATGTTCACAAACAATGCGTTCACAGGAAAAGAGTCCCTTACAGTAACTAATCACTCATGTTCACCTCCCTGCAAAAATTTGTTCTTTTCGTCGTTCTGCTTGTTCTCAGAAAAATAATGTGAATGTGGCTTCCTGTCACGCCCAGCTCCGTCCGATCCTCGTGTGTGCCACGCCCACCTCGTTACCTCGTGTTAATTCCCAATTGCCATCACATGTTTCCTGTTTCCCTTGGCTTGTTTGGTGTATATTAGTCTGCGTCTCCCACTGTCTCCCAGATCGGTCATTGTGTAGTGTTGCTATGTTTGTGGATGTCCGCCCTTCTACCCCGTTTACCCGTAAGTCCGGCTCCGCTCGCCTGCTTCCCGGCTCGCCTGTTCCTGAACCGCGAAACTTCCCTACTTGAGTTTGGCCAGTGAGATCCAGTGAGGCATGTAAAGGCATGCTGTAAGTGAGCATTTGATTGGCTGGGAACTAAACCTGGGGCTGAATACCTACAGTGAACGAATGAACATGAGTCTCTAGTTTAGTTCTGAAGGAGAGATCTGAGGGAGTGAACGAGAGACTCAGATAGGCTACTGAACAAGAGAGCTGTACCTCAGTTGTAATGGAAATTCAGCATTGATTCAGCAGCTATTGAACGAATCAGAACAAGTCTTTTAGGTGAAGGGAGTCAAACTAACTGTATCCCAAAAAAGGAGTCATTTCACCCATCACTGATACGTTGCAGGTTGCGCAGGTCCATTGGGCTTGAAAGTGGGCTGGTGTGTGTTATGTTTGGGGGCGTCTTATGTAAAAGTTTAGGATTTTTGAATCAGCTCATTTTACCACCTTCTCTTACGTAAGCGGGACTTATATTTGAAAGAGTGGAAAATAGTGTTTGAGATTCACAGACTCGCAGTATGTTCGTTCCATGTACCAAAACTCTCCTTATTCAACTATGCTGAGGTAAAGTCAAATTTTCATTCTATGGCACCTTTAAAAATTATATTTGTCTTTTTCAAAGGCTCCCTTTAATACAACTTTATTTGCATCCCCAAGAACAGATTTTCTTTTAACATTAAGAAGTTCCCTCATTTATCAATAAAACTGTGAATTGGAAAAAATAACTGTTTTGCAAAATATGGAAGACACTTCCTACAAAACTTATTTAAATAAGCATGAGAATTCTCACATGAACCCGTAGTCACAATTCCCTACTATTCACAGACTTCTGCTTTGCAGTTCCCACCTTGAGAAGATGCCATGCAGCAGGACCTAAAACAGAACTGGAAGGGGATTGGATAGTATGATTACCTGCTCTAAGGCTGAAATACTTTTTCCCCCACGGTGATTTAATCCTTACCATTAACCAGGGTAGGTCTATGGAACTGTTGCGTACAACACAGACATGCTGGTTGTAGTCACTCTTTCATAGCCCACTGACGAAACTCTTATTTTCATCACGTTACAGCATTCTCCTCCATGGTGAAACCTGAAAGGAATCAAAAACTGTAGGGTACAACATTCTGTTCAGAGAACATGTTTGCATGTTCTATGCAACAGTTTTTTAAAAGTATGTTTACCTAACTAAATGTACAATTTTGCTGTCTATACGCCTGTGTGTAGATTTCCTATACAGACTTGCTACTGTCTTGCAACCAGGTTTATAATGAAAAAGTCTTAAACTAGCTCCCCAAAACTTAAGTTGTTTGTACTATATCATTTAAAAAGGTATTGTATATTACTGGCAAAGACAACTGATGTCTAACTCCTTGTAGTTTGTAGACTGATGGTCTGCAATCAAAAAAAATTATTCATTTTTTCAAATATGGCCCATAAACTTAAAACCATATAACTGGTAAATTGTGAGAATCCCCCATTTTAGTTGACAATTCTAATTCTCAATTTTTCACAGGAAAAATATCACTATGTGCGACTACATAGAAATGTTGGCTTAGCACGTGAAGTAAGACCCATTATGTGCTGAGGTCTCACTCTTCAGGTGTACCTGTTCCCGGACAGCTCCTTGTCGATTTCTTGAAGGGATTTTCCTTTGGTCTCAGGTAACATGATGTAAATGAACACAACAGCAACTACTCCAATCATGCCATAGAGAAGGAAAGTCCAGGACAGACCTACAAGATCTGCAAAAAATTGACATCATCAGTGCACCAGTTTCTGGAAGTGTTTAGTGCTTAAGAAATATGTTTGGGTTGAAAATGTTTTGTTATACCATACTTCCAGTATCACTGGGAGATATCTGACTTTCCAAAAAGTGGGGTCTTGTTTGGTGTCAGTTATTAAGGTCATGATGATATCAACATCATGCTTTCTGCCAGCATAAAATCTACAACTTCCTGAGTATTTCTGCACAATGGTAAACATTGTATTAGCAAAACGAGCAATACAACCTTGTATATAAGCAGTATACAGTCTTGGATATACCAGATTACCATTTCTGATTTAAGCAAAAAACAGCAAAATTCAACAAGCAAACTTTTTTTTTTTTTTTTTAAATGTAAGGCTATATATCAGAAGCTCAAAAATCAGCAAATGATTCTCATGGACAAACCACAGACTCACCGATCAGGCTTAAGAAGGTGAAAGTAACAATCAGGTTAGCAGCCCAGTTAAAGCAGCTCGCCAAGGCAAAAGCTCTTCCCCTCAGCCAAACAGGGAAGATCTCGCTGAGTACAAGCCAAGTCACTGTACAACAGAACAAATAAGGTCAGATCTGGTACCAGTCACTACTCAGAACTTCAAAAATATACTGAAAAAAATAATCCTCACTGCAAATTTAAAAAAGCATGAAATGGTTGATTCAAGCATCAATTACAAAATTTATAAACAAAACTTAAAATGTTTCCAATGGTATTAAATTAACCAACTAACCATTATAATGTCAGTCATTAATATATCACAACTACCTGGTTTACGGGTTTATAATACTAGATGAAATGCTAAGTAAAACTTTTACACAAATCCATAAAGTAAAAGCTAAATGTAACATATATATTCACTTTTCTGAACTAAACTGTGATAATTTTAGGTGTCACATTCAAGTTAAATTCTAACAACACCATCCATCCATCTTCCAGTCACCTATCCAGTACCAGGCTACCAGGGGCTGAGCCTGAGGCCTATCCCAGGCAGCAGAGGGCACAAGGCTGGGGGACACCCTGGATTGGATGCCAGTCCATTAGAGGACACATTCTGGGAGATTCTGGGACACCAATTCACTTATCTACACCTTTCTGCACCGTGAGAGTACACTGGAGTCCCTTTATAAATACAGGGACACACACACAATACAGCCAGTAAAAAGTAGTGCCAACTTACTCGGCCCAAATCCTATTGAATAGGCACTGACGTAAGCCATCATGCTGATTAAGATGATCCAGTCCATGACCCCTTGATCTGTGGTCCTGTCTGGTACTGGGGATGAAGCAGAGCTGTGTGGTGCTGGGTTCAAATGCAAACCTTTGAAACTAGAAGTATCCAAATGCCACAAACCAGCATCTTCTGCAGCCTTCACATCTTTATAACTTTCGAGGGTCCGGTTCAGAATAACCAGTGGGAGAGGTGTTAAGTTCCCATCTGTGGGATCCTGTAACTGGGAGCTTCCGTTTTGGAACCTGTTAGTGTCACAGTAACTCCCCCTCTCATTGTGTAGCGTTTGGTTGCTAAGAAGACCAATGATAACCAGAGAGACCGTCATCACGGTGCATCCTCCAATCAGCAACACTCTCCGGCCTGCTCTGTCGGCATAGATCATGGACACCAAGGTAGCAATGACCTTCGTGACGCCCACCCCCACTGAAGCTAGCACAGCAGAGGCACCGGACTTAAATCCCACTGAATGAAAGATCGTGGAGGCATAGAAGAGCACGTTGGGCTGGCCGGTGAACTGCTGGAAAAGCACGAGGCCCAGACCAATGAACGTCCTCATCCGCATGTTGTCTTTACTCTGAAACAGAGCCACAAGTGCATTTTGTCGTTTGTCCGAACAGTCTGTGTTATTCCCGTCAGCCTCAGTCTCCTCAGCACTGGCCAGCTGCATAAGCCCAATCTGAGCTTGGGCCTCTGAGGTCTCTTCCAAAGGCATTCCAGGGTTGGATGGGAGGAACCAAATGGAGATGAACTGAACCAGTGATGGAGCGATGGGAAAACCAAACATGTATTTCCATCCTTCCGGAACACTGGATAACATGTAGTTCATGGCATAGGCAACCAGGATGCCAACTGTAATGCCAGCTTCATAGAGGCTGACTAAGAGGCCCCTGCGCTCCGGATTCACCATCTCAGACACAAAAATGCAGCAGGACATGGAGGATAAGGATATGGCAAAGCCCACGGTGATTCTGCCCACCACCAGGGCGGAGACAGAGCAACTGGCGACCAGGACGATGCTCCCGCCGAGGATGAGCAGGTTGCTGAGCGTTATGGGGTTCCTCCGGCTATGCCGGTCGATCAAGACCCCCCCGATCATAGAGGCCAGAAGTGCCCCGATAAGAAGAGAGCTCACTACCGCCTCCTGCTGGAAACAGTTGAGGTGGAACTGTGTCTGAAGTTGAAGAAGGGCTCCAGAGATAATTGCCAGCTCATACCCAAATACAAAGCCGCCAAGCGTGGATACCACGGAGGTGAAGATCAGAACAGAGCGACCTAAAAGTAAATTAATTTTTAATAGTAACTCAAAGATATTTTCTACAATACTTGATGCATTCAGATAATTACAAATGTTTTTTTTATTTTATTCAATTTAACTTCTATAAAATTAGGAATAAAATTGTAATAGTTTCACATATTAATAGAAACTACAAAACAACTCATTGTTATGTTCTGCAACCTCAGGAGATCTTTATCAGGACACATTTTTAGAAGGCTGTGCATTTAAAACCAAACCAAATGCAACTAATGCAGACAACTGAGTCTTCCATACTAACACTAGTATAGACACTAATTTAAATGGATGTTGCTTACTCTTTATTTTCTTTATCTCCTAAATTTAAATTAATGTACTTATTTTGTTTCTTTAAAAATCAAAATTTATTCGCAAACAAATGACATAAGCCAATCGAATAATGTGCAAGACATTTGAAATAGTTAAATTCAAAGGTATGAAAGTTCTACAGTTCTATTTAAACAAACTGGGAAATAAATTTGCTTTAAAATGAAGTTAAATGTAATGTTCAAGGAAAGGTACTTTTCAACTTACCCATTTTTATGTGCATTTGTGTTTAAGGCTTGTTCCAGACCCAAAAGTTACTAACAAGAATCATGATTCCTACTGTATGAAATGCCCTGAAAAATAAAGCAATGAATTTAAAGTAATGGTGTTGAAAAGCAGAGAAAAATAACTAACTGGACACATATCGCAATTCATAGCAGTGTCTAGGAGCGAAGCAAACGAGACTGTAACCATAACAACTCCTGCTTGTGCTGCTGATATAATTAGGCACATCCACTTAAGGCTGCTTAGATGAAAAGGTAACCGACCAACCGAAACAAAGAATTGAAATTCCATTTTTACAACAATAAAAAAGCACAACAACGCACAGTGTGTCTACTGAAATCACTGCTGAGATTCAATGTTTTTACTTAACGGAGTAAATGTCCCGAATAAATAATGATAAAATACATTCGCTACTGTATTCTAAGGTAACTATAACAGAAACCCATCGTAAGCAAAGGGGTTTCATAAACTGTATGCATAATAACTAAAAGTCTTCTAATTTGCCTTAACAGGTGTTATGCCGAAAAAGGCATCCTTGCCGTAGAATACATGCCGGTGTTCTGACGAGTTGAGCTTTTAGGGGGTTTTTTGGGTTTAGGGTTTTAGGTTTTTTTTGGGGGGGTTTGGGTTTTAGGGGTGTTTGGGGGGTTAGGGTTAGGGCTTTTTGGGGATTAGGGTTAGGGCTATCGATTAGCACTACGGTAGCCTAACTCGACAAATTAAGTAACTCAACTCGTTTCAGATCAGCGACCAATCGGTCATTTAGTGACAGGCATGCATTCTACGGCAGGGATGCCTTTCTCGGCATAACACCGGTTTAGAGTCCCTGACTTTTAAGAAGAGGTCAGCAAAAGAAAAACCACTATAGAATAATGCTGATAGTACAACGTTAACGATGTGTGAAACACAAATGTATACCTTTTCATGCTTCTTGAATTTTTAACAAGTCACTTCAACGAATCATCTTACTATTGGAAATAACCAAAAACACGAGATGGAAACCCAAAAAATGAAAGCATAAAACCGGTGTGGTCTACTACCCTTAGGGAAACAGTTTCCTTCACAAAACTTAAAAAAAAATATGCACGTATTGTCATCCTCACCGTGCTTGCCTTAAGCTGAATGTTCACGCTTTCCTTGGATATTTACACTAATCTTTAGACGGAGGGTGCTGTTAAACTCTTAAGAAAAGTGCACAGTGCTTCAGAAGGTGAGTTTCAGACGAAGTTCATACTTGGGCACGCAGCCGCGCGCCGCCGATCCCTCAAGCTCCCGTCCCGGTTGCGGCTTTCATCCTCCATCAGGAAGTCAATACTACGTGGCAAACTGACCGCTGTCAACTCCAGAACGAACCAGCAGGCAGATGTTTGCACTGTGAGACAATAGGCAGGCATTTAGCTCCAAATCGAGAAGTTAAAGGCTGATGTGTTTCAATGAATGTATGCACATATAATCGCGATAACTTTTATGAACACTACAAATAACTTATAAATTATGCACATTCTACTGCTCGTATTCGTAGTCGTTATGTTGCCGCTGCTATTTTTAATATTCGAATTAATTGGTTTAATTAAAAAAAATGCACCGAGCAATAACACAGTACGGGTCTGTTACTGGATTTAATTAACGGTCTTGAACTGAAAAAACAAAGTTCACAGATTATCGATCCGTGCCTCCACACCAGCAGGTGGCAGCAATCGAGAGTCGGGTTCTACGAAAATAGTTATTAAAAAAAAACATTTCCGACTCCTATACGCAAGGGGGAGTGCGTCTGTTTTACACTTACAGATGGTGCAGAATTTTTGACAGCAGTCTACAAAAAAACATGTCTGCTAAGGGGGATAGTAGTGCCGTTTTGTCGTATCTTAGCGGCTTAACGCTGCTGAAGCAGGGCGCCGAAGCCCGTGTTTACCGCGGACAGTTTTTAGGGAAAGCGGTAATAGTGAAGGAAAGATTCTCGAAGTCGTACCGTCACCCAGCTCTAGACGAGAAGCTGACGCACCGCAGGAGCGTGCAGGAGGTGCGCTCCATACTTCGCTGCAGAAAAGCAGGTGAGCGTTTGCGGTCACAGTGAGCCGTGAGTTTATGTTAGAAGGGTCCACACCGAACAATCTTACACAGATTATGATGTGGCGGATTATAGCTTAAAAAAAAAAAGTATCACTGACTGCCGTAATGACTTTTGCTAATAAGCTAAAATTTCCAAGTTCACCATCATATTATACCAGTGTTAGAAGAAAAAGCACTCAGAACAGGAAAATAAATGCTAAGTGTCAAAATCCTGGATGCACACAGATCATACCCACATTAGCTAAATGTTTGTAACTGCTCTCTGTTGAATATAAAGAAACTATATATAGTTATAGGTTAATACTTCCCAATAATAAGTTAAATCTTGCTAGCATAAATACATCTTTTTACTGATAAAAGCGTGACTCCTTCTATCACACTAATTCGAGCTAAAAACTCAAAACAAAGTTATCTTCTGGCTAGGAGCCTGTAGGCCTACTTTGAAGCCATAGAGTGCATTTAATTAAATTGGTCGCCATCTTTCGAAAATAAGATATGATGCAACTCATGCAACAAGTAGATAAAACGAAAAGTGTGTGAGAATCATGCATTAAGGCCAAAGTGGAATTGCAGCTTTTCTGAGAGAGCTTATTGAACTGTGATGCAGAGAATGGCAGGATTTTGTTTTCATGATTTGTGTTTTTCTCCCCCAGGGATTTTGACACCTGTTGTCTATTTTGTTGATTATGTATCTCACTGCATTTTTCTTGAAGAAATTGTGGGATCAGTTACAGTCAGAGATCACATAAATTCCACCAAGCTGTCTGAAGCAGGCAATGAACGCCTTAAGCTACTGGCCGAAAAGATGGGCCAGATCCTTGCGAAGATGCATGATGAAGATGTGATCCATGGAGATCTGACAACATCTAACATGCTTTTGAGGAAAGGATCTGAGGACAGAGAACCAGATTTGTGGCTAATTGACTTTGGACTGAGCTACATTTCTTCTTTGCCAGAGGACAAAGGAGTTGACCTGTATGTGCTGGAGAAGGCATTCCTTAGCACCCACCCAAACACAGAGACTTTATTCCAGATTTTGCTGAAGAGTTATGTTGCTTCTTCAAAGAAGTCATCCACTGTCATCAGTAAACTGGATGAAGTTAGACTAAGAGGAAGGAAAAGATCAATGGTTGGTTAATAAGTAAGAAGTTTGTAATTTGTGTGATGCAATTATACAATAAAGCAATTTTCAAACTATGCACATTGTATTTGTCCATGGAGAGAATGTGAAAGGAACCAAAACCGAATAATCAAGAAAATCATACAGTAGAGAATGTTTGAAAGTAAGCAGACCCATGTATGTTACCTGGTTTGTTACGTGGAATTTTACATTTCTACAGTCTAGTCTTTAGCAGTCTAAACAAAGAAAATGTAGGAACTGATTATAAACACCTTTGCTGATGTGATCATTTCAGATGTCTCATATTTGCTGAAATTTGTCAGGATTAGTTTTTAGCTGAAATTGCAATGTTCATTGAAAGCAGGGCACAGCCACAGTAACAAATTTACATTTATTCGGCAGATGCTTTTGTCTAAAAGTGAGGCAGTGATGTGGGGGAAAAACCTGGAAGGGATAACAGTCCTTTAAACTCTCCCCATCCATACAGAAGTTTTTAAGTGTCTGTAAACTGACCACAGATTGGAGGAATGCATTCAGAGGCAGCACGAGACTTGGGATGTTTTAATGTTCAGGTCAAGAACCAGGGTTAAACCCTGGATATCTTAACACATCCTTTAGGGGACCGTGATACCTAGTGCCTGTTAAAGCCAAAAATGGCACCCTAGACAAGCTTCACTGCCGATGCCTCTGTCAGCAATTTGCTAAGTCTGTGTCCTCTCAGAAGATGGCACCATAGGCCATGTCACTGAAGGATTGACCAGCCCTCACAATACTTACCAAGCAAGGAAAAAGTAAAACAAGTTAAATCGCAATTCAAGGACGTTGAATTAACTATCTGCTTCAATACTAATATTTTGGGGCTGTCCACCTGTGTGTTTTGAAGACTTCATATAAAAGTGAGAACCTTCCCATGGGAAAAGTAACGTCACATTCCAATATAAGCAAAAGCACTCTTACAGAACTCATATATTACAATTGAATTTTAAATGTGTGGTGAGGTAGGGGTTTACTACTGCACACAGAACAAATCACCTATGCTTCACTATGCCTTGCCCCATTATAAATGCATTTACATCAGAAAGGTGCAATGAAGTCACTGAACACAGTTCATGAACCACAGAGGCTTATTAACATGGTCAGAAGTCCCTGGGCTTTGAGTGAAAGACAGAAAGCCACACAACTCCTCTGAAATTACGCAATGTGCTCCAAGATAAAACTATGTGAAAGTATAGCAATAACATGTTATTCTACAGCAAGTATAGTGATGTATAGGGTTTTGTTTCAGAAGTGCATCCTTAGACCAATTTCCTTTACTTTTGTTCAGATGTTTAATTTGCAATATAGTGTCAAATAAGGGCAAAATCTGAATTACTTAAAGTTGTGCGATTTCATATAATTTGATTTCCTGAATACATTATAGTAAAGAATTCATTCACAAAGCGCACTTCATAGACAGGCTATTTAAAAATAAAATTGTCCCTAAAAGGGATCCCTCCTCCAGACAGGAGTGCATACCTCTATAGTCCGGTGAAAATCGCTATAAAAGCTCCATTGTGGCTGCAATCACGTTCCTCTTCTTTTCTCATTGCACAGCAGTTCACCTACTATGGCAGCTCCCTGCCGCTGGCACAAGGGTGCAGGAAAGCCGCAGCACTGGCCCTCCGTGAGAAGTTCACACACCCACGGCCCATGAATAAGATCTCATTTATAAAGGTGTCCCACCCCAGGGGGGGGGGGAAGAGAGGGAGAAAAACCAGACACCCCAAATGGACATCACTGTACAAAAGGCATGTTTGAAAACATAGGTTTCCTCATCCATTCTTAAGCATAACTCTAATACTCATATGACAAGGAGGCCATAAGTGAATTAACCCAGAACATAATTTCTCTCTCTACATACATACACGTGTGTATACATACATACATACACACACGTGTGTGTATACATACATACATACATATGTGTGTGTATACATACATACATACGTACGTGTGTATATATACATATATACACACACACACACATACACACACATATATATACATACACACACACACACATATATATATATATATATACACACANATACACACACATACACACACATATATATACATACACACACACACATATATATATATATATATATATACACATACACACACACACACACACACACACACACACACACACACACACACACACACACACACATATATATATAGTGAATTATGTTACACTGCAGTGCTTAGTCCCCTGGGCTTCCATGTCTATGGAGTTAAATATAAATGTCCCTTCAAACTTATGTATAGAAATGAGAGATAAAGTCACTGTCATTTGCTGTCCAGAACATCTTAGTTACCATGGTGTCAGCACAGAACCTTAGATGTCTGGGGGGGGGGGGGTCTCTCCCACTGAAGGCAAATGTGTTGGAGAAAGGGTGAGGGGGTGCATATTTTCCAGCTGGCAGACGGGCATCTCCAGATCTGTACGCTTTCTGTATAGGAGATGATGAACAGGCAGAGATGGAAAGGGCAGTATGATGGCTGCCCGAGTCCAGTGGGGGAGGGGTAGGAGGTAGGGGGGCAGAGGACTGGTCAGGAAGCCGAAGGTGAGCCCAGTCAACCCCCCTACCCACCTCCCTTTTGGCAGCCGGATTCCAGACTGGCTCCTTATTGTACGCTCTCCGTTGCCATAGCAATGGCTTCCTGGATTTCCCGCACGGCCAGGATGCGTGTAAGCATGTGCTCCAGCTGCTCGCGTGTGATTGGCTGGGTGGAGTACCAGATGGGGCTGTTTGGGGCGACGACTGCTTCTGGCATCAAGTAGAAAGTGTCGTTCCTTCCTTTGGCGCTCAGTGGACTGGGGAAGGCATGCATGTTATTGCGGCTTTTCCACATGTTTGTTGAAATCATCATAAGTGTAATACAAAGTACAGCTGGAAGCATTTTGTCAGCTTAAATGAATAATACTGCATCCATGTTCGGACCCAGGATAAAAGTATCTGGCACAGACTTTGAATAAATTCATTCATCTTCTGCTATTCGGAGAAGGGACTGACCAAAGGTTATCTAATTACACCATGCCTGCAGGATTCTTGCTACATCCCAGCATTAAATTGGCTTTCGTGAGCAGCAATAATTTACTCTGACCCCCTTTTCATTCAGCTTTTTTGAATTTCGAATTGCCTGTTTATTTTCTGTGAATTGATGAAAGTATATGAAACTTTAATACAAACATCAATAAAGCCTGAAAAGCATATACAGATGCTCCCCTAAGTTTGGATATTACAGAGTATTGATGCTAAAAGGCAGTATGTAGATGTAACACTACCCACTTACCACTTGAAGAGGTAGAAGTCATAGAGCTTGATGGGACATCGCAGAGGGTTCTCCGGGTCCTCTGCCTGCTCTTCATACATGTCATCTGTCACTGGCAGAGAGGGTCATATGGTCACACAGGGCTTCCACCAGCAGGGGGCGTAATGGTCAGTGACAAGCGTTCACTCACCTTTCTGGCCCACCTGGTGTAGCCCAACCCCCTTCAGATAGCGGATGGTGGTGCTCTTGTCCTTGGGGTTGGAGGGGTTCTTCTTGGTGTGCCGTAGCACTTTGGAAAAGGCTACTTTCATGTGCTGTTCCACCGTCCTCAACTGGAAGTACCTGTGTGGGTTCATAGCAGTCAGTATCTCACACACACTAGGTGGCTCCAGCGAGTAAGCTACACTGAGGTATACAAGCACTCACTTAGTATTGAAGAACATGAGCGTGCTCAGCAGTGTGTTGGGAGAGTGGGCCCCCAGTTGTTTGCACTCCCACAGCATCTCCTCGGTCACATGACTAGGGATGACATAACCTGGAATGGAAGGCAGAGGCACATTAGCACCTGAAGACCAGATAGGACTTTTCCTGGCCACAGTCTTCACTGTGCCTGCCTATGTTGCACTGCGTGCTCACCCAGTGGATGGACGTGAGGTTTCCAGCCATCCAGCACCCGATGCAGGCACTGGGAAAAGCGCAGGTAATACTGGTCTGAGAAGATGTCGTCCACTCGGCCATTTTCAAACAGGTACTGCAATTAGATATAGAAGATGGCGAGGAGTCAGCCAGCATCCCCGAAGTACCTAGGGTCAAGGGCCTTGCTCAAGGGCCCAACGGTCATATGAATACCAGGGTTTCCCCTCGGTTTACAGCTTTTTGGGGGGGCAGATGGACACCGACAGGATTCATGGTATTCATGTGTTTCTTTTAATGACATCAGTCAATATGACAAATGAACTAAACATCAGAACATTTCTGCTACTCGCAGAAGAGCGAGTGTTGCCATCTTCACCACCCTGTCTGCTTTTCAGGTGTTTGACACGACTCTCTGTCCGCTGATGGTAGTGTGCTCAACTGTGTGTGCGCGCGCATCGGGGCGGAACTCCGCCATGCGCGATACAGAGAGCAGAGGAGAATTGTCAACACGCGACCGTGTAGAGACAAAAATGACAAGCTGTTGTGTAAATAAGATAAATAACATAAGGCAATAACAGTAATAACAATAATAATAAAAGGACAATGTATAACCTGTTCTATAGGAAAGGTAACCTTAAAGGACTTTTGTTGTGATCTGGCGCTATATAGAAAATAAAATTAACTTGACCTTCAAGGGAGGGGGGGGTGCCGTTGGGCGGGCGGGGACCCCCCTAATATAATGGTAGGGGAAACACTGAATACTCTCCTGTCTTTGAATTGGGATTTGAACCTGTAGCCTTCCAGACCCAGAGCTACATGTTTGTTCATACCTTCTGTATACAGAGAAAGATGTAGTAGAGCATATCGGGTTGGAAGGACTCTCCCTCCAGTCCACGAGCCTCCTGGATCATCAGGGACAGACCCATGTTCAGTTCGGCCACGGCACACGATACCAGGTCCTCTTGAAAGCGCAGAGGCTGGCGGCCTATGCATACAGAAACCCCACAGAGACATGCATTTAAAAATTATGCACGTTGGGCCCTTTAAACCAAGTAAGTCACATGATTCCAGGCCCCCACCTCAGCCCTTTCCCAATTGCCGCGGTAACTCACGGCCAATG